GTGCAGTGGTTGGCAGGAGAAAGGGGAGTCTGCTGCTCGGGAAAGCTTACCAGGACAAGGGCATAAGTAGTTCTTCATTATTAAGTGCAGGTTGCTGATGTAAGAGCATCAAATAGGAGCCACAGAGTGTTTTGCTGGGCTTGAGAGCCCGTTGGGGCAGCTTTATTTGGAGACTAATTGGATTGCAGCTCAAAAGAGAAATTTCCTGTCTCTCATAACAGGATGAATGAGCTGGAATGGAGCTGTGCTACTGCAGGCAGGTTGCTCTGACTCTCTGCCAGCTCGGTTAAAGCAGCTCCATTAGGTCTGTGTGGCACAGCTGGGACACATCAGCCTCCTCCCAGTGGTGACGCTGGCTTAGAGCATCACCAGCCTGCAGAGTCAGGGCAAGGTCAGGTGCCAGGTGAAGGGTGTTGCTCATAAAACCTTTGCCTCTAGGGGTCAAGTCTGAGTAGCAGGGATGCTGTTGTGTGGCTGTAAAGAGTTACCAGGTGGTAATTCCTGGGAGAAAAGGGTGGAGGCTTCTCTTTAGACTTTCTAGTTGTTTATGTGGAGAAGATGAAGGAAGGGGATGAAGGTGTCTCCTCAGCACTTGCAGCAAGGTAAGCTCTGGTAGAACTATCAAGCCAAGACTAGCTTCATGTCTTTCTAGGCAAGAAGTAATACATGTTGGGGGGTCTCCACCTTGCTTTGCACAGTTGAACCATTGTTTCTGTTTTCCTTTGATAATGCATAAGACATTCCTTAGCTCTGAGAATCTGCTGGTAGTGCTGGGAACTGCCGTGTGGCCTCCACCTCACGTTCCATTCCTCCTTGGTCCCACATAAATCACAGACCACCAGATCTCCGATGGGCTGCTGTGTTTTTCTGGGCACCAAATGGTTTGTCAGCAGCTTTGGGCTTTGTAATTTTCTACTGCTGTGTCCACCTAACAAACCGATTCAACTCTTCCCCTCTTTTTCCTTTTTTTTATATTAAAGATGTTGACCTGCAAGTATGATACTATGTGAAAAGAACACTAATGGAGAGAGCTGACCTTTGCCTTTTTGTTTTCTTGCCAAACTAGTTTATCTCCTATTTACTTCCTCTGCTCCTTGTCTCCTTTCTATTTCAGTAGCTGGTCTGGAGCCTAATTCTAAAGGATGATGCATATGCATCCCTTGGGCATTTGCTGCAGGAGCATTTCCAGGGCTTCAGAAATGTCTCAGCATCTTAAGAGTCAGCTGTCATGTGTTTCAGAGCCAATGTTTTCTGTTGCCCTTGATGGCTCAGTGAAGATCACTGGGAGAATTAATGCCTGAGGGTGATTGTTTGGAACTGGAAGTGAGCAAAACAGGTCCCTGAAATGGGCATCTCCATCAGTCACTCCTGAATCGCTCTGCACTGGCCGGGGCTTTCTGCCGTTGCCTGGAAAACGCCTGGTCTTTTTTAGGTGCGATTTAAAGATATTATTGGGTTGATCTTGAAATGTTTCTATGCTACAACACCATAGAGAGACAGACGTGACCTCACTGTGTTAAATGCCACTGTGTCAGGGCAGGGGTCTAAAGTTTAATTTCCACAGGCTCGTTATGGAGCATTTCCAGACTCGTGACTGGGCTGAGTTCAGCTCTGGGGCAACATGACATCAAAGAGCTCCTGACAGGTGGAGGGAAGGGAGATGAGGAGTATCTGGGCAGACAGGGATGTGTATCCTGTGACTGCGTGGGAATGATGGGAAAGCAATTACTGGGAGCAGCATGAGGAATTAGGTGTAGGCATAGCATGTCAAGAATAAAAAGAGAGAAAGAAAGAGAGAGTTTCAGTACCAGAGGAGAAAACCTCCCTGTGAGAATTTCTGGACTGAGCAAATAGCCCTTATGGGAAAGGAGCAAAAATGGACTTTTTTCCATAGGAAATTCAAGATGTTGGACTCAGGAAGGGACATGTCTTGCAGAAGACATCCAGTCTCAGTCCCTTGAGAAGGACTAAGAGAAACTACTGGGGTTTTGTCTATAACTGACGAAGATAAGATTTTGTTAGGTTATTTATTTCCCCTCCAGAATGAAACTGCTTGTATTTGACCAGCCCACAGATACTTTGAGAAACACACCAGTGATCTTGATTTCCAGGCAAGAAGGAAAGGAAAAAACTGTGAAAACTGGAAGGTGGTAAGAACGACATCTGTAAGAGCATGCCAGCAACAGCGTTGTCTGTGTTGAGCAGCATTCAGAATATTCTGGAATATATTTGATACATGAAGGTTCTTATTCAAAACCAGCTCTTGCAACTGTGCTTCTTCTTGATGACTCTAAAAGATCAAGTATCGACACTTCTCACTCTTAAGGAACCTTTTTTTCTAACCTATCTAAATCTGTTCCTGCATTAATTGACCTGATAAATAATTACAAAAACTCATAGCAGACCTGTGTCTGTGCCACTAAGTAAAACCAAGCCAGAGGTAACACACTGTTTAACTCCCAGCAAGTTTCGCGTTCTGGCTTTAGCCTGTGCAGTCACCCAGACAGATGAGGAAGATGAGGGTGAAGAGCAGGGGCCTCTAGACGCCACCAAGGGCTGACTTGTCTCTGCTGATACTTTGTTTGTCCATGAACTTGAGCGTCCTTAGCACGGCAGGAGCAGTGGTGGAGTCAGTCCTGAGATGTGTTTAGTCCTGTCCCTGGAGCAGTTCCAGCAGGGTCAGGGCAAGCAGATGCTGTTCTTGTGGGACCAGACCATGATCAGAAACTGTGCTTGGCTGTCACCCAGCGGCTTGTGCTTGCCAAGGGTCTCATCTAGGAGCAAACTGGCAAGCAGAGCAGGGGGTGACTCCTTTAGGATGCTCCTGTCTCCACACCGTGCTGGTTCCTGGAGCTGGGTCAGACTCCCTGTGCCCGGCTCTGGCATTAACCTCTTGCCTCTGGGGGCCGGGCAGCGGTGAGGGAAGACAGGCTGATCCTACCTTTCTTCCTTATGAGTGACTGGCTTCATGGACCACTGTGGTCTCCTTCCTCCCTGCAGGAGTGCGTTTTCTTGGAGGTTTTGGTTATTATATGTTTTAAGATATATTTTATTGATTTATTTGTGCTTCAGGCTTTCACACAGAGGATCTGGAACTAGTGATGGTCTGGACTGTAGGCATCCGATAAGGAGGGGTGGGTACAACGACCAAATATTGTTTGAGGGAAATCATAATGGGTGCTTGAGTGAGAGAGAAGGCTCCAGGAGGGGCTTGGGCAACACCCGAAGTGTTTTGTGAGATACAGAGTTGCTGCCCATGTGGGGTGTGCAGATAAGGGAGCAGACGCAGGGAGTGCGAGAGGTGAGCAAGACCAGCCATTTGCCTGTGCTGAGGCTGAAGGGGACTGTGAAGCTTGGGGAGCAGGTTTGGGGCTACCCTGGAGGCAGAGGGGCTGAGATGGCCTCTCCCAGATCTTGGACTCAGGTGGTGACGTGGACAGGGGTGCACAGGAGCAGGGGGCTCCTGCCTTTGCAGGCTCCCAGTCACCTCAGGAACCCCGTGTGAAAGGCACATGCAGAAACAATCGCCCGCTCTGGAGCGCAGCAGCCACGGGGTTAAAAGGAGGCCAGAGATGGATTTCTGTTCTAGTTCTGCAGTTGCTGGAGAAAGGTTTCTTTTGTTTTGCAGAAGGGAACTCTAGGGATGGTTGTGGGATGAGGGGAAAAATGAGATATTTTGGAGGATAGCGTTTTGTTCATTATTACACTGTTTCTGATTCTCTTGTGATTTGGAGCAACCTTGTCATGTATTCATTAAAAATCTGATCCCTCTGTTTAAAATTGATATGAAATTTAAGGACAAAGGTAAAATTTTCGTAAAACCTGAAGTCTTGAAAATGATTCTGCCAGGGAAAAGAGTTGCGCAGGCCAGAGGGGTGTGTGCTGGAGCAGATCCCCTCGCCACGCTGCCGGCTGCCTTCACGGTGTGACCCGCTGCACCTGTGTTCAGTGGCACACGGTGCAATCTCCAGAGCCTTCCCAGTCCTGAAAAAGCCCTTTGAGCTAATTGGGTGATCATGCACGAATGCTGTAAAGCCTGCGCTTTAGACCTACTGCACCACCTCATGTCTCTGGCTAGATTCTCTCTAGTAGATTCAGCTTAAGGGCAGCGCACCTCGCCCACCAGTGCGTGTGTACAGTGTCCCCCGGAAAGGGAACAGTCCGGTTTGGGTCCCCTCTGGCTGAGGTATGTTGGCTCTTTTACCCGAGCTGCTGGAGGGTCTTGGCTTACTTCATTTTCTGCCTCAGAGCTCATTCTGTTCCCTCCTTAGCCAGGAGACAGTGTCTGCCCTTCTTGGGGGATGCCATTACTCAAGTAATGGTCAGGTCATGTCCTTGCACATGCTGCTGGAGTGATCTCTTGTGGAACTACTTAAAAAACAACTCTTACCTTGGGTCAAACGGTTCCTCTTATCAGATGCTGTGTTCTGCATCTGCCTAGCCCAGCGCTTACTGTGCACTTCAGTGAGACATGATGATGATTGATCCGTTAACTGCATCCAGAATGTATTTATTGGTTTCTTAAGTTGGGGTTTTGGTGGGAAGATGTGGTCACCAGGCAGGTATTTTGGATGACTCTTAAGGAGCGAAGCTCTCGTTGCTCATGCAAATGCTCAAGACATAAAAAATTTAACCAGGTGCTTTGCCATCATGTAAAGGCTGAAGAAAGGATTTAAACCTTAATGGTGAGAGGCTACAGCTCTGTCACCTTCTATGCTGTAACACGGCTTCATGCTGTAACACGTTTCATTATAAACATTTGGTGACTGTGGGGGAGAGAATGAAGCTTGGGGGCAAAACCGAGGCAGAGGCTTCCCCAGAGGGTGAATTAGGAGGAAAGCAGCTGCTGAAGGATCTCGTGTTAGCACAGCTGCAGGTTTCCGACCGAAGAGCTGCTGCCGGGGAGGAGCTGCCGGGAGGGAGGAGATCAGGCTCTGGCTCTGAAGGTTGTGTGTCAGGTTTCCATGCAGAGCACGTGTGGATAATGCGAGCTGCAAACGCTGCTGCCTGCTCCAGCCGCCAGCACAGAGCCAGCCGGGAGCATGGGGCAGGTGGCTTGGAAGGGTTTATTTCTATCGCTTTTTGACTATAAGACGGAGAAATACGTCATTGCGAAGAACAAGAAGGTGGGGATCCTCTATCGAGTGGTGCAGCTCTCAATCCTGGCTTACCTGGTGGGGTAAGAATCACCCTGTGTTTCACGTAGTGCTGTGGTTGTATTTGCTTGCTCTGTTGTGATGAAGATTAATGTAGGATACTCTGCTATGCCTTATGATTCTAATGCAGGTAGTTATGCTTGTTTATACAGCTGGATTTTGTAATGTCTGATAGATTATAACTGATTTTTCACCTGCTAGGGATCACTAGATTCAGCCAGATTCAGCTCCACTTTACAGATTAACATGGGGTTAAGAATACATCAAACGGCACTATGGCTTGGTACTGCATTATTTATGCCTTTATTTCTGTATTCGGCAGGAACGGTGCCAAACCTTAACACCTGACTCATTAGAAACAACAGCATTTATGGCCACGGTTGCTGAGCCTTGAGACAAACCCGGGCTTGTCTGCAAGACGTGTTTGAGTCTAGATGGGAGGGAAGGAAGCACGAAGTGGCAGTTTTCTTTGCCAGAGTGGGCTGCGGCAGCCGGGATTGTGGAGGCTGAGGCAGCATGAAAGTCAGCTGCCTTGCATTTTTTCCAGAGCAGGGCAAATTGGCATGGAGATAACTAGAGCACCTCTCAAAAAAGGCCCAGTTCTGCAAGAGGCTGGTCACGCTGCCATGGAAGGAGCACCGCGATACTCCTTGCGGCTTGCAGGCTCAGACCTGGAATTATCCAGCCTCTGTGGTGCCTGTGCCGTTGCTCACTGAGTTTTTGAGGCTTTGCAGAACGTGATTCAGAAGTCTCTGCCCTCACTGTCTGTGCTTCTGAGTCCCTTCACCTTTCTCACACCTCGTGTTTTCACTGATTAAATATAGCAGAGTCATTTTTACGTGCTGGGTTTATTTATAGAGAAGTGTACAGTTTCAGAGCCCCTGTTAGTTAGCAGGGCAGAGATGAAGTCTCAGCAGTCTGGCATGTATTAGCTGCCAAAGGAGGAATCCTATAGATAACGTTGCTGAGGACACATCCTCTGTCCAAGAGGGATATGGCCTGACCAGTGACCATGAGTGTTCAGAGACTGCCTGGGCCGTGCTGGCTATTTTCTTCCCCAGGCAGCTATTGCCTGCTGCAAACCTTTGACCCCGACACTGACGGTGCCTGCAGTGACTCCCTTGTGGCAGGGGCTCACGGCAGCGGGCGGTGTTATGCTGATGTCTCACTGCTTGGTTGCCTACCTGTACCCACACCTGTTCAGAGGCTGCCTCAGGGGTTGTGAGCATCAAACTCCTCTGCATCCTTTCTTGTGTGTAGTTGCTGTTTTCTTCCCCAATTTGCTCTGGAGAATGTAAGGGTCTGCTTTGTAGCCCCCCAGGAGAGAAAACCGAGCATCTCAGAAAAACAGGCACCTTCCCAGCTGTGGGGAACGTTGTTATTACTGAGGTTTGTTGTGAGTAGCGGATGAAGGGCAGCGTATGTCAGTGCTGCTCAGCCCTGAGATGGCTGCTTTCCCTTTCCAGGTCGGTGCCCTGCAAAGGGGAGCTCTGCCAGCAAACGCAGCCTTTGTTCCCTCTCCCAAACATGTCCCAGCACCCTGAGCTGCTTCAAGGGTCTGGGTGATCTTTCGTCATGGCAGGTGGCTTTGGCAGTATTGTGGAGAAGCTGGAGGCACTTTATTTAACCCACAGATGTTTTCACTCAGATTTCTGTTAGTGATATGCAGTTCCCCTGCTGGAATTGCATCTCCCCAGCCATGATCTGGTGTGGAACCAGTAGCTAATGGCAGGCTGCTAAAACGGGAGAGAGATGTATTTGTGAAACCAACCATACTCCTCACTGTAACTTGCAAACCTCCTATTATTTTTAATCCTGATGAGCACAGAGCCCTGTCCTCCCCTTCCCATCACGGCTGCTGAGCACAGCACAGAAGATTTCGTTAGGTGTGGGGTCTTGAATCTGACTTTTCCCCTAGTGCTGTAGATAAGCACAGCTTACTTGAAGGAATTTGTTCTAACTGTGTCGTATTGGCTGCACGTGGGTTGGTGTCATTGGCATGTTTTGATTTTCCCCATGAACAGTGTTTGGTCTTGGTGTAATTTTTCTCCAACTCATTCCCTTGACCCCACTTGTTGATGCTGCTGCCTGCTGTGTCTTCACAGGTGGGTGTTTGTTGTTAAGAAAGGCTATCAGGATACAGACACATCCCTCCAGAGCTCTGTCATCACTAAGCTGAAAGGGGTAGCCTTCACCAACACGTCGGAGCTGGGGGAGAGGCTGTGGGATGTTGCAGACTACGTCATCCCTCCACAGGTGGGCATCACCCTGGTCCTGTCATCTCTGCAGTTCAGGTAGAAAGATATCTTGCAGCATGGTTGCTGGTGGAAAGGCTGAAGTCATGTATCCAGATCTTTCCTGTGAATAAGCAAGAGGTGGGCTACAAGAAAGAGATGCTGTGCCTTCTCTTAGGTCTTTCCAGCAAATATCAAAGCAGCCTTGTCTCTCTCGTAAAGGTCCGTAATATTTGGCAAGCAGAACTTTGCAAGCAGAAGTCCTGTGGACGTCAGTGGAGCTGCTCAGCTGAGCAAAGTGTCTGCTTGCCTCCACTCCTGGGCTGGAGAGAGCCAGGTAGCAGAGCAGGAGGCAGTGAGGGTTGAGAGAAATCCCATTTTTCTTGTGCTTTTCTTTGGTGGTTGATTGTTAAGGGGAAACCATTAAGGGGAAAAGTTACCTATTCTAGCTTTTTGCTGAATGTGGGGAAGGGACCAAATAGAAGCTGTAAATATGCAAAGAAAGGAAGGTTCTGGAATGGGAGTCAGCCATGCATTTTGCAGCTTTGCCTGAATACAGAGAAAACACTACACTGCCAGAAATAAGGATGTTAGAGACGAAAATGCAGTGGTCCCTCCTTGCATGTCTTCAACAGTGATCCCAATGGCTCAGTAAAGGGATCTGTATTCTTTCCGTTACAGACACGCTAGAAGTGCTGCGTTTTGTTTTATCACGTGTCCACGGTGCTGCCCTAAATCTGCTCCTGCGCTGTGTCCGGCTGCCTTGCTCCGTGAGCTCGGGCTTGTAACGGTGCAGCTGGGGCAGAGAGCGTGACCCTGGCTGAGACAAACACACACAGCTCTGCACCGGGACGGGGCCTTTGGTCCGTGATCAGGCACCACATCCTCATGGAAAAGGAGAATCGAGCAGCCAGCAAGGCAAGGCTCAGCAGTGCTGCTCACACAGTCTCTGAAGCAGAACCCTTTAAACCATAGAGACCTACCCACCTCATCTAAACAACAAATACCCAGACAAAGGATGTTGTTGTATCTCAGCCTGAAAAGTGTCAGGAGAGAGGGAGCAAAGAGCTGCATCTTCCTTGTAATGGGTATTTTAAGAGCAGAACAGGTTTTCTAACTCTTCCTGCCTTATTTTTTTTATCCTAGGGTGAAAATGTCTTCTTTGTCATGACGAATCTGATTGTGACGCCAAACCAGAGGCAAGCCACGTGTCCTGAGGTAGGAAGAACTGAGCCCCTTGGCTCCCAGATCCCTACAAAACTGGGGGTAAGAACTGACAGAGGACACCAGGGGAGCATCGAACACAGGAAGGATGAAAGGCGAACAGTTTTTTTTCTGTGGTGTAATATCTCAGTTGGGAAAATCAGACTGGTTACTGCAAACCTGGGAGGTTCAGCTGTCTTGATTTCCAGAGGCATTGATCATGTAGAGCCTTGCCGACTTTAGTTGAAGTTGTTGGACATCTGCCCAGCTGGAGATGAGACTAAAGCAGTGATTGCTCAGGGTCGGAAAAGGCCATGGGAAAACATCTTAGAGGTGACTCAGTCTAGTTACGGGGAGAGGAGACTTTTTCTAAGAGCCCCGTGCTGGGAAAGGTGGAGTATTGAGGCTTTTGTTACCTTCAGGACATGGGAGGGTGCTCGGTACCTTCCAGACTGTCCCTTCTGGGCCAGAGGCGTTGAGGTTTTGCCATGCTGTGTTGAAATGTTCTCTGCAGAGACATGGTTCAGAGTGTGCTGGAGCCTGGGGCAGGAGGACTCTGGCTGTCCAGGGAGCACTGTCTCCATGTAGCAGAGATGAAGTTTTCCACATCGCAAGCAGAGGGGCAGCCCAGGCCGAGGGCACAGCGAGCTTGTTCGCGACGCGGCTGTCCTCTAGCGGCTGCAGCCGACAGGAGGGTAACTTTGAGCTCAGTGAGCTCGTAGCTTGAATCGAAGTTAGGGCCATCTCTGCAGGCGAAGTTCTGTGGCCTCCTGCTTGGTCTTGGTGAGTGAGGTGATGTCTGGGTGTTTCCACAGCCTGCCCCTCTCCAGATGGAGCTGAGCTCGAAAGCAGGACGGCGTAGCTGGGCCGTGGTGTTGCTGGTGGTGCAAAGCTGTGGAGCTGCTTGCACATGACCTGCAGTTACAGCCTCGGCTGCACGTTTTCGGTGTTCACAATCATACAGAGGATTCACCCCATGAGCAGCGCTTTCTTATGCCTCCGAGTCTCATGTTCTGACGCAGGTCTCACTTCTGTCCTCTTCCACTTTGCAGAGCGAGAGCATTCCTGATGCCGTGTGTTACCAGGACGAGGACTGCCCGGCAGGCAAAGCAGTGGTGGCTGGCAACGGTAAGGGAAGGGTCCCTCCTCCTCCACCGTTTCTCCGAGAAGCAGGTTCCTTCAGAGGCTACCCCAGGGATCTCTGATTACAGAGCGTAGCAAGGACTTTCTTTTCTTTACCATCTTTAATAACAGTTGCTGCCTTGCTTACAGCTCTGTGGTGGCTGGGCCAGAGCACCCTGGGGCTGCTCAGAGGCAACAAGAGAGTTGATGTTCCGGCTGAGAGGCCCTTTCACAGCAGGGAGGGGGGCTGAGGGTGGCAATGAAAAGCATCTGATTTTTGTGTGTCCTGCAGGCAAGGAGAGGAGGTGGCTGCTCTCTGTGACCTGTTCTGTGATGTCTGTGCTGCAGGGGTTAAGACTGGCCGTTGTTTGAAAGACAGGGACAGTATCAGAGGGACTTGTGAGATACTGGCCTGGTGCCCAGTGGAGAAGAGATCCAAGCCCAAGTATGTGGCCATTTCATGCTGTTTCCAAGCTTGAGTTGCTTGGCTTGTGTGTCATTCAGGGCAGTTTCTGGGTTCCCTCTGCTTGGATGCTTGCTTGAACGTTGGCTGTTCCAGCACAGGAGGGAGCTCTACACGGCCCCCTGGCATGACTGACCCTCTGCTCCTCCCTGCTTGGCTCACAGCTGTCCCAGGGCTGCTTCCAGCTCTCAGGGCTTCCCCTCAACCTGCACACTGCTCACCAAGACCTTGCTGGCACCATAGGGAAAGTGGCACGGCTGGCTGAGTGCCACGGGATGAAAACTAGCTGTTCCTAAAATGCCAAATCAAGTTTTAGCATGTGGGCAGGATACAAACGTAAAATAGAAAACAAGCCCTTCTCTTCCAGGAAACCCCTTCTCGCCGGTGCAGAAAACTTCACTGTTTACATCAAGAACTCAATCCTCTTCCCCAAATTTAAGTTCTCCAAGTAAGTGCAGGTGCTCAGAGACCCCTCTATCCTCTCCACCACAGAATCAATGACCTCGATTTGCTCCACTGCCCTTCTGCTCCCTGAGGGTTGAGGCAGAGGTGGATTTCCCTCTTCCCTACATGCAGGATGAATGTGCTGGCAACCGACGAGTCCTACCTGAAGAGGTGCCGCTACAGCACAGAACATCCCTACTGCCCCATCTTCCTCCTGGGGGACATCATCCAGTGGGCTGGGAGTGACTTCCAGGAAATGGCCTCGGAGGTAGGAGTGCCCCCTGGGCTCGTGTGGCTTCCGGGCTGTCTGCACTGCCCGCTGGGGGGTTTTGAGAGGAGCCACAGGAGACTACCCAGGGAGCTCTCTCCTGTCCAGGGTGTAGTGGAGAGATGCTGGTTCTTTAAAATCACGCTGGTTCCATTTATCCTGTCCCCAGGGAATGGCAGGCAAGGCAATATAGGTCCTCTGGAAGAGATAGTTGAGTCGGTTTTCTGCTATTCGGGGCTGCTCAAACCTCTGCTCTGCCAGCATGGTTTCTTTGTTTAATTTTGACATTACTACAGCTTTAGCTTAAACCCAGAACTCTGGAAGGCTGGTGAGGCTTCTCTGCTTGGAGAACACCACCCCAGGAGGCTTCCCCTGTGGGAAACGGACACGTTTCTACTTGTAGTCCTGGGGCTGCGGCACCGAACAGGCTGTGACCCAGTGAGTGAAGCCCAGGGGGGAAGATGGAGCCAGTCCGAGGCATCCTGGGAAGCACAGGGTGAAAACAGCGCAGGCTTTGTGCAGGCTTCTGCACTCATGAACCTCACCCCTGCAAAAAGGAGCCTCTTTTCTACTGAAGTATGTTACAGCCACTTAAATTCATGAAATTAGCATCCTGGGGTGAGGAACTGCCTTCTAGGATACCAGCACAGGGAAAGCGATGGTTATGTGATTAATATCATAAGTGTGAACTTAGCCCATCCAGAAGTGTGTGTGCTCGTGTCTGTAACCAGAAGTGTCACTGTTCTTATACCCGAGGAAAACTTGCACAAGGATCTGACAAATTTGAAAACATTAATTGAACTAAGCTTAAAAAACTCACGCTGTCTCTCTCTTTCGTTAAGGGTGGTGTGATAGGAATTCAGATTGAATGGAACTGTGATCTTGATAAAGCCCCTTCTGAATGTAATCCTCACTATTCTTTTAGCCGTCTGGATAACAATTTTGCAGAAAAGTCCATCTCTTCTGGGTACAACTTCAGGTAACTAAAGGAGAGAATATGATGCAGCCTCACGGTTGGGCTGAGATGGTTTGACTCACAGGCACTGGAGGTTGGCAGTGAAATGGTGCCAGACTGTGCCGGGCACTGCCCCAGCCACGCATGTTGCTGTGAGGGGAAGGATCCTCGTGGGGTGAATCCTTCAAGCTAAAGCAGTTTTTGATCGGGAATAACTCTGAAGCAAAACCCAGTATGTTCTTGTATGTTGGGGACAGATAATGGAGCTAAAATCAGCGCTGTTGTATTCCAGGTTTGCCAAATATTACCGGGATGCGGAGGGGGTTGACTACCGGACGCTCATTAAAGCATATGGAATCCGCTTTGATGTGATGGTAAACGGCAAGGTGAGGTGCCAGGCCAGCGTATTTCAGAGCTGGGAGAGAAAAAAGGGGGGGAACAAGGGGGTGGGATTTCTCAGTGGGAAGGCAGCTCCGGGATGAGAACAGGCTCTCGCCAACCATCCACGTGGAGTCAGTGCTACGTAAGGAGATGACCTGGAGTGTGGATGAGTCTGCATCTCTTCCACCTGAAAACAGGCTAAAGTCTGACAGAAATCAACCTGTCCCAGAGACTTGTTTTCCATGCGAAGGCACTGCAGAAAAAAGAAGCCTCATCCAGGGGTGACCCAAGCTCAGAAATGCAGCCATGGACAGCTGGATCCGAGACGCACGCAGACCTTTAGCCTCCGAGATTATTCACTGCAAATCTTCTGTGGCTGTGCCTGCTGCTTGTTAATGAAACACACCCAGAGGCACTCATAGCTTCCCCTGCGTAATACCACACCTTTAAATTTGTTTCTTGGGTTCTTTTATGGAGTACTTCATGACCTCTTTTATTTTAGGCAGGGAAATTTAACATCATTCCCACCATTATCAATATTGGCTCGGGGGTCGCTCTCATGGGAGCGGTAAGTGAATGTATTTTCTTAAAGTAACGTATTGGGACCCAGGTGCCTCATTTAGCTGTTGGGAGGATGAAATGGGACAGTTGGTTTATAACTGCTCCAGCAGACTTATTGCTATTCTGCCTGGTCAGTCAGGAGTGTGTCTCTGTCCTGACATAGTGGCATTTTAAATGTACCCTGTAGTCTAAATACCTCTAAGATTACATGGAGTATGAAGGAAAATGCAGCTTCTGCAAGTTATTCTTTAGTGAGTGCTCACTGCTAATTAGATCAGAATGCTTCCTCTTCCACCAAAACACAAGTTCTTTGTCTTTGCAGGGAGCTTTCTTTTGTGACCTGGTGCTGCTGTATCTGATTAAAAAGAGTAACTTTTATCGAGGCAAAAAGTACGAGGAAGTAAAGTAAGTGGGCTTGGCTTTGTGTTTAAAGATAATTGCTTTCTTGTTAGCACTAATAGAAATAGGAGGAGATACAGGAACACAGTAAACAGTAATAGCAAACAAAGGCCTATTCCAGGAAATTATATTCCTCCAAAGGATTTTAGCCAAGTTACTCCCTTCATAATTAATTGCTGCAGTTAGTTAGGGAGCAAAGGATCGTGCTGTGTCATGGTTGGGCTATAAATGGCCTTGCACCATCAGTCCATAATCACCACGGATGGAATTGGGGCAGCTCCAAGAGCTCCAGAGCTTCATGAAACTGAGAACTGGGGCTTTAGCTGTATGGAGGGTGACAGCCTTTGTGGTAAAGTCTGAGAGGCTTGGCTGGGAGCCTCTTGCCAGCTTTGCTTCCTGACGCAGAAATAACCTGCTTATCTTGTCTGTCACCTTTGCTTGTTTCCTCAGGTCCAGTTCCAGGAAATCGTTATCTAGCCCTACGCTGAATGGGAATCAGAGCCCCGACCAGCTCGGTGGGCTCTAGGCACAGCGATGGGTCTGCCAGCAGGACTCGTGTTCCAGGAAACCCACACGGGTGTGAAATCACACCAGGACTGGGAGGTGGAGATGACCCAGATCAGATCTACTGTCTATTATCAAGATTCCCAGAGGGAAGAAAAGTCCTTTAAAGAACACCCTTCTTTCCCTGAGATGTTCTTTGGTATCCTGAGCTTGCAACAGTGTGTCATCGCTATGGATTTATAAAAGGATTTTATAAAAGGACAAAGAAGGCACCAAATTAATAGTTTTATATCTGTTGAGAGGTCTCTACCTGTGTCAATTGCCAGCATTATCCCGTGGCCATGCTTTGCTTCCTTGTGCAAAAGAGCCGTGCTGTGACTCGCCACTGGCACGCTGAGGAGGGCTGGGGCTGAGATTCAACCTGTCTCCTGCTCCGCTGGCTTGCAGCCACCGCTTCCAGCTCTCGCTCGTGTTACGTGCAAGACGAGATGTAACGCAGCAGGACTGCTCTTGTCGGGAAGTGCAGTGAAATGCAGCGTTTCGGCAGCTCTCCGAGCCTGGAGGAAAGGGGCCTGTTCTACACCACCTGTGCTGACTGGGGCTGGGTCACAGTGGAGGCAACTACTCTTACTGCAGGGTGTGTGTAACCATTAGGGGTAGAAATGATGCTCCTCCAGGAAAAGCCTTTGCACAGCTGCCACAAGGTGCTCTGCTCGTCGCAGGCGCAGCACCAGAAGGTCCTGCTGCAGCTCTGAGTGGAGAATCAGTTCAGTCATAGCTGGGTCCCAGCTACCTCACACACCACCCACTGTCTCTGTAGTTTCCCCAGAGAACCGGCACCTCAGAGCACAGAAGAGCTGACAGCAGGCAGAGGAGGGTTTCAAAGCAAAGCAGGGACAGATATTTTTGTGGTTGAGTCAGGGGAAAAAGGGGGTTAGTGCACTGGAAAGCAATGGGGGACTGGGAGTATCTGCACAGGGATGTTCTTAGGTTCTCCCTCCTTTGTTCAGTGCCTGGTTTCACTTGCTCAGGGTTGTCCCTTCTGCATCACGTTAACAATTGCTCGCATCGGGATGGAGGACTTAATGCTTCTGCCATTTTTCACAGTGCCCTAAACTATACCAGAGAGACTGAAAAGGGGAACTCTGTCAGGTGAGGCAGACTTTGCTAGCTTCTTCCAAATCCACCAACAGGAGGAAAATTTAGAGGACAGATGTCCACTACTTCAACATTCAGGAACCTTCCAGGAACTAGAAGTGCTGCTTTGTTTCTTGGTAGAAAAGTAAGTCTTACTGCAGCCCATTTAGTGATTTTCTTTTTTTTTAATTCATGTGGGGGTGTAACTAATCTCAGAAAATTGCTTAGAGTATCATTGTTTACTTCTGAAGTTTGCATTTGCTTGAGCAGGCAGGAACCAACTCAGCAGCTCCCGAAGAGACAGCAGGTGAATTAATAGTCCTGCCTCGCTTCAAGCTTCCACATCACAGCTTGGTACAAACTGACCAGCGTTCTTTAAATATTGGCATGTTGCCACTGATCACGAGTTGCCACGCTAAAGATTGTTTCTGTGCCCTCTCTAAATATCAAGATTTAAAGGACTCCTGCAGCAGCATCCTCACCTGCTGTGGAGGGTGGTGTGTTAGAGCTGCTGTGACTGCGTGGTCTGCACAAATGGTCAAAGCAAGTTGTGCTCTCCTTTGCTTTAACTTCTTTCAGGTTGTTACTCTGAGGTACAGGCTGATTTTAAATTTGAACTCACGTTTGTTAGCAGTTGCAAACTCCCAATCCCGTCACTGACAGCAAACTTCACCCAGTCTAATCCACTCCCTCTGCTTCTGTTCAGATGCAAGTAATTATCGAGTCAAACATTTAGCTAGAGAACAGCGTTACACAGTGGACTTACACAGCTTAGCCTAAATTATTTTAACTCTGATGGTGTAATCACACCCAAAGCTGTCTCTTTGTGCCAGCAGTCTCTCCTCTAGGCATGTGTGGAACTGACAGGCTGCGCTGGTCAGGCCTGTTGGAATTACCAGGCCAATAAAACAGCACAGCCTTTTGATTGTCAGTTTAATTCTGTCTGAATGATTTCTAGATGGTGAAATACCTGGTGAACCCCACCTGTGACATCAGCCCAAGGCACAACTCGTGGAGCCCAAGTAGCCCATCATAACACGTAAAGCTGCTTTACTGAAACTCTTGTTTCAACTTGACAGAACAACACCCTCTGGTTAGATGACCAGAGCAATTTCCTGAATTTAAGTAGGTTTTCAGGGGCTTCAGGCCCATGTAAAGTCCTTAGAATATTTCCCTTCTTTATATGTTCTGTTTAACACAATTCCCACCACCCTTGCTGTTGATAAAACATAACCAAATTCCTTCTCAGGAGCGTGTTTCTTTGTGTGTGGGGTTTGGTAGCTGTTGTTTTTGTTTTTTTTTTCCTTCCACCTTGTATTTAATGTACAGCAATAAAATATCTCACTTTAGGGCAATGCTCTCCAAGACATTTCTGTACCATGTGGTTTGTAGGCTGCTCTCACCACCTTCTCTCTGTGATTCTGTGATGCATGTTTACACTAAGCAAGTCACCACTAAGTTTGCACAAGCAGGTCTATTACAAAGGTATTACCTGTACAGTGAGCGACCAGATTTTCACTTCTGTTCCTACCCTACGGAACCACAACACTGCACTGTTCAGCTACAGAAGGTGCCAGCAGGCTTACATGTGTGTTCAGAACGGACTGAGCTGGCAGGTAAAAAACTCTGTGCTTTGCTGTCTGTGTTTCTTTGGACATGACAGTCCTAAAGAGCAAAGTGCCTGATGTGTAAGAGCATTACTTACCGACTTCTGTGTGTGCCAGTGAAATGCATCTGTGACAATGTTATTTATTGACAGCGTGTACATACAGCAGTTGTGGAAATCACAACTGCACTGGCAAGTCAGTTACGTTTCTGTACTAAACCCCTCCATACACTCAATTACACACTACTGTGCAGTATTCCCCTGTGTCATCGGATTATTTTTTGAGTACTGTGTTCATCAGTATCTGTGTCCAGGGACAGGCAGCAAATCTAGAATGGACTGTAATAGGTGTGTCTTATCTGAAACGCAAAGGATATGAGGGACTACGTAACCAAACCCCACAGCTGTGCCTGTAGGTAGGGACAGAAGTTATTCCTTAACCACCAGACAATACTCATGAGAGGCCTCCAAGTGCTGTTTCACATTCAGTTTAATTAGAACAGTACTACCGATCCATTTGTACTGGGACATAATTTACTGACAGTATGAACAATACAAGCGATGAACAACAGTTTAAAAGGTAAGCTGGCCTAGTTGTGTAAGTGACTTTTGGCAACAGTCCTCCCGCTTCATTAAAAACCGCTGCAGCTAATGTGCCTCCTAGTTGGTTTAGTAGACATGAACCATTCCGTACAGGAAAGTCCAGAACAGGACATACGTGAAGAGACCTCCTACCAGCCCCCCCGTGAACAGCGGCCTTCGCGATTTAAAGTACTTGTTCCACCGCCGTCCGGCTTTTAACACCAAGAGCACGGAGAGCAGGACGGAC